GGAAAGATCAAAGCCCTTTGTTTTGCGTTGCTAATTATTGCCCTCTTTTCACCAGGAGAAGAAACTCCCTTTCTTTTTCGAGAAAAATTTGCTCATTGCCATCAAAATTTATACTTGTTCGCTCGTTGCCATAAAAAATATAGCTTTCCTTATCTGCCATCAATTTGTGTTTTTTGTTTCCTTAACTACCATCACCGTCACCTATAGGTGGTTTATTTCCTTAACTGCCATCTGCTTATGTAGTTTGTTTCCTTAGGCCAGTTTCACTTTATGGTTTCACCTCCCAGTTTCCAAGATATGAAACTTAACATGAAACGGGTCTCTCTCGAGTCTTAGTGCATAGTTTCATTGCACAATTTAATACAGTTATTTTAGCCTTTCATGGGTCCTACCATATCTCTCTCTCTCTCTCCTCTCTCACCGGCGGTTATGCGCCGACGGAACACGGCCGCTGCTGCCACGGCCGACAGAAGGCCACTGGTCAGTCCGCCTCCCTCGCCGCCTTCCCATCCAGCAACGGCCTCCCTCGCCGCCTTCCCCTCTAGCGTGGCGCGCCTTCGATGACGGATCCGAGCAGCCATGCGATGCTCACAGCAGAGCCCGCCTTCCCTTCTCCCCTCATTGCGCCTCCTCGCCGCCTTCCCTCCAAAGCCCGCCATTGGCCGCCTCGTGGCGAGCAAATACCGGGCCTCCTTGACGCGGCTCAGCGGCGAAAACAACGCTCGGTGGATGAAACGACGGAACGCCCTGAGTGGGGGTTTCGTGCGGTTTCCAAAGTTTTGGAAACCACGCTCACTCATTTCATCCCTATGAAATGTTTCCCTTCTCTCTCTCCTCGATACATGCAAAAGCTCCAATTCTGCTGATGTGGAGCTCTATTTAATGTGCATGAAACCTCCATAAAACCTATATTGAGACTGGCCTTAATTGCCATTTAACAAACGGCGTGGCGTATGTCTCCATGTACACTTGACAGGAGTGTCCGATTCTGCCCTGCCAAAGCCGACGTGTCTGACTTCCAACCCAGCCAAAACGGATCGGCCTCAAGCCAACAGCGCACGCAAAAAAAAAAGGAGAAAGAGGAACCCGACCCCGATGAAGCCTAGCTCGCGAGCGATCCCGATCCCGCGACCAGCCCGCGCGCCGGCGCGGCTGACGCCACCGACCGACGCCGGGACGCTTTCACCACCGGGACGCTTCACCGACGGGACGCCTCCTCCCTGCACATGGTTTGAGGAGGCATTGCGTCGCAGGCACATAGTCCCGACACATGGCTTCCTACATCCATGTTAACTGTGTTCGCCAGTAAACATTTGAACCAATGAATAAATATCGATGCAGTGTATGTCTAATGCCATGTTAATTGTGTTCAAAATGTTGCTTTAAGGTTGCATGTCATGTTCCTATAATATTTATATTGATGCTGTCATATTTATGTTGCTGTCATTTACTGATCTCCATTTTATGAGGTCTTCCATTTTATCTGGTATATGGTTCTGGACACCAATGGCATTAAGGAATTCTTGGATCAAATTTTTGGAGGGGTAAACTGTCTTCCCCATCCTATCTAACAGATGACTAACAGAATGGCAGTTAGAGAATAAAAAACCACAATTTGATGGCAGTTAAGAAAAGCTATGATTTTTTATGGCAATGAACACATCGTTATAGATTTTGATGGCAATGAGCAAATTCTCTCTTCTTCGCCAGGAATAGTACTACTACGGCCTGTGGTGCCTGGCGGCCTTTTATTTGTCATCCCTCCTCTTTCAGCGGCGCGTTCCTTGCCTCTGAAGTTCAGGAGGCGCAGCCGGTGGCGCGTAGCTTTCCTGAAAGCAAGACGTGCAGGCTGCTGCTCCTGGCAGATGGCATATTTAATACCCATGTGTACTAAAGATTTGATGTGATCTGTTACCACCTGCAGCTATGATTCAGGAAGCAGGAAAATCGTCCGCTCCCTGAAAGCAAGCGGCGGCTGCTGCTCCTGGCAGATGGCGTGGCATCTGTTACCACCTGCAGCTATGACGCCCTCCTGCGAGCAACGATCCTCACCACGACCAGCCAACCACCACACCAGTCACCGCCACACACACCAGTGGTACTACTGCACCACACACCACTGCCGGCCGGAGCAGAGCAGTAGGAGTATCTCACGCAGTCACGCGAGCGGTCACAGAGGACACTCAGTCTGTTCTTATCGTTGCTGGTTCACGCGAGCGGTCACAGAGGACACTACTGCGCTATCTACCGCGGCCGTGGGCTCCGGTCACGGCCTCACGGGCCCCTGTGCTTGTGCAGTGCAGGTGACCCACCACCCGGGGCCGGGGCAGGAGGAGGAAGGGAAGAAATTACGGCCACGGTTACAGACAGGTGGCCCCGTCCAACGGTAACCGGGGACCCCGTCCCGTCGGGGACGGGGAGGGAAACGTACGTCACTCTGCTGCCTCGCGGTGTGCCCGTGTCGGCTATCACCTTTTTACTCTTCTAACGCCTGAAGGCCGCTCAGCTCAGCTCCAAAAGTCCAAAGCGTGGTTTGACACGACGGAAAGCTGCCTTGAGCCCTTGACACGGTGGAGCCCTCGGGCCACGCGGCCCGCGCGTAGCAGCCTCCAGCTCTCCACTCGGCACCTCGGCGCGCGGAACGCAACCGCGTGGCGCCAGGTGGTCAGACGCCGCGGCGCCACCCCGCCGCTCGTCCCGTCACCCGACCCGAGAGCACGCCACGACGTCACGCCCCCCGCTGCCACTGCCAGTGCAGCTGCAGCGCGAGGCCGATCGATGTCGATCCATCGTGCAGGCAGGGCAGGCAGGCGGAACGAAAAGCGGTGGGTGCGGGGGAGAAAACAAGGCGTGCGCGGTGCGTGGGATGAGATCATGGCTTGGCTTCCGAGGGGGCGCGGGGGTGCGGGGACGTGGTGGATTGCGAGCAGGGCACGAGCGCGACGCAGTTTTCACTCGTGCCGAGGCCGGCCCGCACACATGAGCGATCGCGGTCCGTGGAGTGGCTGGCTTGGGTTTCACCGAGCGCCTTTCGCTTTAACCGCCAGGTCCCAAACGGAAACGGTGGGTGCGTATCACGAGGATCCCGGACGGGTTGGTGGTGGTGGTGCCAATTGCCAAACTCCTGCCCCCCCCCCCTTTTTTTTTCTTTCGTGTACAACCACTAACCAGCAGGGTAAAAAAAAAAAGGCTACCTCTTTCTCCTCGTGTTTCAACGACCGTACTTTGGACCTCCCCTGCAACTAGCGGTGCAAGTCCTGCTCGTTTCTTTGACGCGTTTAACTGCCCTTGTACGACCTATTTTATTTTTTCAAGCACAGGGTATTAGTAAATAGGAAAAACATTATTTGTCGTACCAAGACTAGTACTATCTCCGTCCTTAAAAAAATACAACTATAGGTTACGTGCCACAAAAAATGATTCACGTTTGACCAAATCTTTTAGTAAATAATATTTACATTTATAGATTTAAATTAATTTATTATAAAAATATATTTCATAATTAATCTGATTGTATTTATTTGATATTATAATAAACATGAATATTTTTATGTATGATTGGTCATATTTAAGGTATTAAAACGGGGGACGGAGACACCAGGAGAGTTCATTTTTACTGCGGTGATAGGGGTGAAGTGCGACGGAGGTAAAGGCGATCCGCGGCGTCACGGCGTTCCCATGGGCAGGGCACTCACAGTTGAGTGCTGGCATCGATGCAGCAACACAGCAGGTGAGCAGGGAGGCCAGGGCGTCGGCTGCGGTGGCCCTGCACCGTCAGGCAGCGGCACTCCTCCCGAGACTGCACGAGCGGAGTCACGCCGTGCCAGTGCCAGTGCCAGGAGATTGCCGCCGATCCACTGCGCTTCTCCGCATTCCGCTCAATATTCTAACCTTATTTCCGTACTCGCGCAACTGGACGACGGAGAGCATCGTCCATGCGACCATGCCAGTAGCTTCTTTGCTTGATCAGGTAGCTCATCAAGATCGTATCTAGAGCATGTATCTATCATCTTGTTTAGTTCCTCCTTGGTCCCTGTCGCATCATATATTTAAACATGTATATATATAGAAATAAAAAATAATTAATTACATAGATTACGACTATTTTATGAGATCAATTTTTTAAGTCTAATTAATCTCTAATTAATCCATAATTTGACAATATAGTGATACGGCATACATACGACAACGGTAGATTAATTAGACTCAGTAAATTCAAAGTCTCACAGATTACAAAGGACTTTACTATCCGAACAATTTTACCTGACGCCTCCACGTGACAACTAAACTTTAGCCCTTAAATTTAAACACTCACGTCTATCTTTCTTATCCGAGTATGACAACCCAAATTGAGAACAGGCGCAGATCGCAATTCTCAATTCAGAACTGAGACAAGAAACAAAATTCTCAAAAAAAAATGACAGCATATCTGCAATAGCCATTACTCATATATCTGGTTCTCTTCCATAGCAACAATAACAAAGCGGTACTCATTGTTCATCTCCTCCATGTACCAATTACATGCAGCACCAGTACAAGGAGAGACGGTGATTACTTACGCCTACAAGTAGGCAAGCCGGTGATCATGAGGCATGCCACAAGCAAGCAACCTCACCTCATCTTGATCACTTTCCTTGCAACTGAAACCGAAACTACTACTGCTGCTGCATATTACCCCGGCAGGACAGGAGGATCACAAAGCCCCTCGAGATGCCAAGACCAAAACTTACAAGGGTCAAAAAGGAAACCAAAGGCGAAGGTTCTAGCGAAAGACGGCGGCAAACGCAAGTGTTTTTTCCTCTTTTTCCGAAAATAAAACCCGGAAAAACACCAAAACACCAAAAACTAGATCCCCAAACGGATCAAGAGGCGCGGCGAAAAAGAAAAGAAAAGAAAAGGATGGTAAAAAAATTATGAGAAGAGGGTGGTAGTAGTAGTAGAGGGGCTACTAGCTAGCTAGTAGTAGTACTAGTAGTTATTCTCTGTTCACCACGCCACGCTCAGGGGACGGCGGCGAGCCCCGTGACGACCTTCGCCTTGGGCACCTGCTCCTGCTTCTTGCTCGCCTCCTCCGACGGGCGCCACGGCGACACCACCACCGTGATCTTCTCGCCGACGCTGACGCCGCCGCCGCCGCCCTCCACGGCAGCGCCATCCCTGCTAGGCTTCCTGTCGAACACGAGCTCGAACTCCCCGGAAAAGCTCGCCGCTTGGACCGGCGTCGCCGCGAACAAGGGTGCGGCGGGGCCCGGCACGACGACCTTGTCGCCGCCGTCGCAGCGGACGTGCGGGGACAGCCACTTGGCGCGCATGTACTCCGGCTTCCGCCACGGCGGGAAGTGGAGCCCCTTCTTCTTGAGGCTCTGCCGCGCCGCCTCCGCCACGACGGCCACGATCTGCCCGAGCCGGTCCGGGGTCCCCACGAACAGCGGCGGCAGCGCCTGGAGCGCCGCGCGGTACGCCTTGGTCGACCGCGCCAGCTCGAACTGCGACCGGAAGTCCACCTCCACGATCAGCCTCACCTCCTCCTTCCCCACCACGGCGTCGATGTACTCGTGTTCCCCTGCGCACACAGATTCCGCGGTGGTCAGCACCAGCCGCACGCCAAGGATATGTTGGACCGAACCGCGCCACATACCTGCGGGGTAGGAGGGGGCCTTCTCCCACCGGGACTCGCACACGGAGGCGTCGTAGCCGAGCGCCCTGAGGCCGTCGGCGACCGCGCGGCGGCACTCCGCCTTGCCCTTGCAGCCCTTGCCGCACCTGTCGGCGAGCCTAGACGCGTCCGCGAGGAGATTCCGCTCCGCAACGCTCGCGCTCTGCACCAAGCCCTGCCACGAAGACAAAGCCCCCATTCATTCATCATTTCGATCCATGCGGGTTTGGGTTTGAGTTTGGAAGGGGGAGAATTGCAGATTTCCCTAATTAATTCGCAAGAAATTTCGCACCTTTAGATCCTCCAAGGCGTCGCCTGCCCCGGCGGTGGCCGGCTTGGAGGCGTACTCGGAGGGGAGGAAGTCGAACTCCTCGTCGCTCTCCTCGTGGTTGCTGCCGTTGAAGCAGTTACAGCGCCCCCGCGGCGGCCGCTCGACGGCGGTGGCCTCCTCCATGAAGCTGAGCACCATGCGGTCCAGCCCAAGGGACCCCGCGGCGTCGCCCTCACCGGCCGCGGGCGGTGGCTGAGGCAGCATCTCGTCCTTGTCCCTCTCCTTCCCATCCGCGGCGAACTTCTCCGACGCAGACACCCTCACCAGCAGCCTCCGGAACCTCGACACCCTCGTCGTCGGCGCGGGCTGCTGCTGCGTCGTCGGCAGCAGCGGCGGCTTCCCTTCCATGGCGGCACCGTGGTGCTGGTGCTGGTGGTGGTGACCGTTCTTGAGCTGGAACGGCATCGATCGCATGAAGCGCAGCGACTGACTACCACCACAACATCTCGCTCGCACAAGTAACCAACCCAGAACCAACCGCACCAACAAACCACCGGCCAAAACCAACCACCACACCCAGCGTGCTACTGCCCGTACGCCGGCAGTTCGCCGGAGGCGAGCGCTCCCCCTCTCTGTTTTTTCTTTCCCCCTCCCTCTCCTCTTTTTCACAGTCTACGCGCAACGCGAGGGGAGAAAACCACCAGGCGAGCCAGGCGAGAGAGGGGGTTCAAACGGGAGGACCCTGGGCGAATTTAAAGGGAGTGCTGTCTCAGGCTGGCCCACCATGACGTCGCCGTGCGGTGGGACCGGGCTATCAGTGGTAGTACGTGGCGGAGCCGGTCGCGCCGTGGGTCGCAGGGACGCCGGCACGCGTCCCGCGCCGTGGGATCACGGCGCTGCCGTTCGTGCTGGGGAACGCGAAAAGACGACATCGGTCCCGCGGTTTTGTGGGTGGTGGTTTCGTCGCCTTGTTTCAGACTGGGAGGGGTAGGATTGGTAATTTTTCAGGGAGAGGGGTGGATGGTGTGCGGACGTGGGGAACGGCAGCAGCAGCAGAGTGGACTCAGTGGTGTACCGACTACCGGCTCGGCCCGTTCTGGATTTTATTTTCTGGATAGGGCTATTATTTTAATGTGAAGCGGTGGGGCCGGCAGAATACTTAAATCTAGAGGACGTTTTTTTTGTTCAAGGCGTTTTTTTTATTTTTCTTTCCATGACTTTCGTCAAGTTCTTCGGCCACCTAATAGCAGAATTAATAACACTCATTGAGAGCTATTATGGCATTGTTTAAGGAGAGGAAATTCTTACATGGAACTTTTGATTTATGATGAAGTATTTTTTCTTGTCGAATATTATTGCGCTAGTAAACTAAGCATAGCTAAGCTGGTTTCGTTTCGTGCAGAAACATGCCCATACAAATTCAAAATTTTGACTTCACTTCTAGATTTATTCCTAGACTTAATAATGCTATTATTTTAGTGGTAGACTAAGTGTCTGTTGATAGCGAGGTGCCTGTTGTGAGTTTGCATTGCTCGGTCTTAACTAAATGTTCATAGAAATAAATGAGTGTGCGTGCATTTTTATAATGATCCACTAAAGCCACCACACATCTATGCATGAATAGTGCTATTTCGTCAACTAAGATATACGCGAGTTCGATCTTTTGTAGATGATAATGCTACTAGAGATATGGATACGTGTGCATGTTACGAGGAACAATGTACATCAATAATACTCTCTATTCTAAATTATAAGATTTTTTAGCTTTTCTTGATACATAGTCTCCCCATCCCTTATTTTCATGTCGTTCTTGATTCTCGAGAAGTCAGATGTACTCAACTTTGACGAATATATTTTAAAATATTAATATTTATGGTCCATAATTAACATTATTATGTACCATAAAGTACTTAAGGGTGATAGGATGGGGCAAAGTGCTTAAGGGTGATAGGATGTGCAGGGTTGGTGTGTCTTTTGATAATATGAGTCAAAAAATACACTTACATAAAGTTTGCTCTTTTATAAACTATATACAAGGTGGTGGTCTTATATATACTAAGGTTGTGTCTGTTAAGTGGCTCTAACATTACCCGAAAAAATGAGGTGTTTGAAATTGTTCACTTGGTAATTAGTAGTGATTTATACCTATCTACCCATGATCAATGTTGTACTTGGATCCATAGATAGATATTTCAAATTGTTCCAAAAGGTTTGGCTGATAATTTAGGATAAGCTGGAGTGGTTTAATGGTTCTGCCATGCTTGGTCCACATGTATAGTTGAAGGCTTGGCGGCTTGGTAATAATGGTCAATGTTTAGTGATAATACTAGCTTTACAGAATTGATATTGGTTTCTAATTTCTACATTTGTAATGTAAAAGAAATATATACATTGTACGACTGTTTTGTGTACGGTCCTAGATGATATGAGTCATTGAATAGTTTCGCATTCATCAGATAAAAACACTTAACATGTAAAAGCTCGTTAATTGCATTGTCTTGTTCTAACATTTAGCTCTCGTAGCAATGCACGGCCACTCAACTAGTAGCAACAAATAAATAGGGACGGAGGGAGTAGCTCTTTGTTATGCATTTAGATATACAATATGTTTAGACATATAGTTTTTTGTTATGTACTTAAATGTACACTGTATTTAGATACGGAGCAAAGTAAAGCTAAAAATGTTTTATGATTTAGAATGGAGGGATTACAATTTTATGTATCTCCTATAATAAAGCAGCAAGATACGAGTTGTCAAGGGTAGTATATGACCTGAATCCAGGCGGAGAAGTTTCTCCATGTTTACTCTCTCCAACCATAATTGTGCGTACTTTGATATCACGCGGCCACGGAAGACACAACTTTAATTTGACCATATATTTGTTGTCAAGTCTCTGATATAATTCGATAAACAGCTTTCTCGGAAATGCAGCGTACCTACGATCATCTTCAAACCGCGAAATACATGTACAGTACAACGTAGTACCAATTAGAAGAAAGTTTGTAGTCAATGCTGATAATAATCCATGTAATAATAATCCAAAACGGACATCCTGGAATCTGGACTCCAGAATGCGACATTAGCACTACCATTCAATCCAGTAGTGTTTGACTGACCAGCGCAGGGATTAGGGAAGAGCGAGCGGAGACTTTGAGATTTTAATTTAGCGGCCTGGGCTGATTGTTTCGTACACACACTCTCTCTCTCTCTTCTGCGTCAAGACTCCTGTTCCATACACCGACTGATCCACGCCAAGAACGGAGAGAGAATTTTAGGATGGACGACGACTGTAGCGTGGTCAAACAACGAGACTTGGCCAGATGCATGGTCGATCGAGTTGTCAACTTGTCATCGTTGCGACCGGTACGACGTACGTAACTTTTTCACGTCGCGAGGTGCCGTACTCACGATTCGTTAATCACCTCGACCAGGCGTGGGCGTCCACGGCTACGCCCTACGCGGCGACGGCGTGGGTGGTGGGAGCGTCGGCGCGGCGGCCACAAATGGTGCGGCCGTAACTGTCCGTCGTCCGTCCCGACCAGTGTTGCCTGTTGCGCAGTCGCCCGAAAAAAGATAGAGGTAGAGGTTGGGCACGGAAAGACCGGCAGGCGGCAGCGACGTGCGACGTCCCTCCCGCCTAGTCACGGCCTCACGGGAGGATAGGATGCTCGACGTCCCTTCTACGTATCCATCCTCACGGTCACGGGAAAGTCTGGCCTGGCCTGCCCTGCCCCCTACTACACGCGACCGGCGAGGTAACTTTTTTCACGCCTGTACTCCTACTCACGATTCGTTAATCACCGCGAGCGCGAGTCAAGCACGTACGGCTAAACGCACAGTTGCTTACTGCTTATCTTAAGCTGTTGGTGTTTATGCAACCATGCATCATGCCCACGTTCTTATTCTTTCAAATAAAAAGAAAGAAAGAAAGAAAAACATGCTACTACTCCCTCAGTCCATGAAATAATGTAATTCTAGTGTCACGTTTTAATAAGTTCAACCAATTATAAATAAAAAATATCAATATTTATGATACTAAATAAATATCATTAGATTAATTACGAAATGTATTCTCATAATAAATTGATGGGAAGTCATAAAACTTGGTTAAATCCGAACTACTCCCTCTGTCCCGTATTGTTTGTCGTTGTGGCATACTTCAGCTCTGTCCACGTTCACAGCTTGTGTTGTTGTGCACCTGGACTCTCCATATTCACTGTTGCTCCTCAAAAGCTACAACGACACACACTGATAAAGGGACAGATAGAGTACTCGTAGTTGTATTTCTTCTGGAGTGAGGGAGTACGTTCTTCCAGTTTTCAACTGGATCGTTACCTCGATCTGTTCATGTTCTGCTTGAGCAGGAGTACGGGTCACCTGCCCATGATTCATGATTGCTCTGGGTCCGGAACCCGCCGGGCCGGAGTTCGTACTGTACTTGACCTTGCACCGACCAGGCATGTGAATGGATGGACGATCCATCCTCCTCGTCGGCTGCTCACTCACATGAGCGTGCATGAGCACGCCCACGCTCACACAGACACACACACTGCACGCACAGACCGCTCGAAGTAGACGACCACACCATCGACCTGATCCGCAGCACTGCTTCAGCGAGCATCAGTATAAGGTCCTGTTTGGTTCCGACAGAGAAGAAGATTGCCACTTATGACTAATTTGCGAGACATCGACCTGATCTGCAGCACTGCTTCAGCAAAAATTTGTCATTAGCCTCCATCTATATAATTGGTTTTGTAAAATTTATTTAATGCGAAACGGAACAGGGCTAATGTAAATTTTAGCACCTAATGTCACCGTGCATGCTACTGGGTACTGGCGAGCTGAGAGGAGATCCGTGAGGACGAATGCAGTGCAATGCAAATGCATGCCATCTGAAGAGGTAACCTGCCGGTGTGGGCCCACCGCCGGCAAGACAGCAGCCTAGCCAAGTCAAGTTAACCACGCCACGCATCGATCGATCGTTCTTCTGACCCCGCTTGACTTTCCTTCCTCCATGCTCGAGATGGAGCGTCATCTGCACTGCACGGGGCCTGGCCTGACCCTGATGAGGATCACCGTCACCTAACGGTGGTTGCTCCCTGGCCGTACCCGTACTGATGGTTCCGTTCCGGCCGCGGTTTTTGATTACCGCCTCTTAAGGGCTCGTTCGTTTCAAGGAGCACCTCGATTGATTCCAGGAGGAACACAAGGAACCGAAGAAGGCCTAACTCTGTCACGGGGCTGGGGCCTGGGCGTCGCGCCCGCCTGCACTGCCCGCACTGCCACGGCCGCTCATCCGTCCATCCCCATCCATCCATGTCCTTCCAATTCCAAACACAGCCTGCTGCCCTGCCCTTCCCTTCCCTGTCTTGCCCCTTGATATCTGATTAATTAATTAGGGTCGGGGCACCGTTCCGTACCAGGGGGTCCAAACCTCTCCTTGCATTGGTAACTAAGATGGGCC